AACACCAAGTCAAGGGTTAAGATCCCCTTACCGGTCATCTTTTTGAAAAAAAATAAATAAAAAGAAAGAAAGAAATGTATATTACCAGCCACTGGCTTTTTAGGAATGGAGTAGTTGCAGTGCATCAAGGGGCAATTTTATAGCCCCTTATTTTTCTTTAAAAATTTTGTCTGTTTTTCCTATTCGAGAAGGGATTTTGTTTTCAACTTTATGTCCCACCTTTTTCTTTTCTTTTCTTTTTTTTTTTTTTGACAAATTTTAAAGCAGCATAAAACAGCCTGGCCAGTTAGCTCAGTTGGTTAGAGCACAGTCTTATTACACCAAGGTCATGGGTTTGGATCCCCCCAAAAATATATACAAGAATAGTGCAGTGAATACCTTTTGCCACATTTGTTTTCTCTCTCTCTCTCTCTCTCTCTCTATGTAGACATTTATAGAGGGAGGTTTGAAAGTAAGTCGGATGACACTTCATCCATAATATTTCAGTGTGTACCTTCTTGAGAACAAGGACATTTTCCTAATGGAGGACCTGCATAATGACAAAACAATTATCACACTCAAGAAACTTAACATTCATACAAAGATATCATCTAATATCAAGTCCGTATTATCTCAGTTGTCCCCAAAATATCCTTGACAGCTGTTGTTTTTGTTATTCGCTTGTTTAATATCCAGTCCGGGATCATGGGCTGTGTTTAGTTGTCAGGTCTCTTTGGTATCTCTTAACCTGGGTCAATTCTACAATCTGTCTTTGTGTTTTGTGACATGGACCTCTGTGGGTAACAGGTCAGATGTTTTGTAGAATGTCCCAAATTCTGGGTTTGTTGGCTGTCTGCAGATTAGATCAGGTTATATATTTGGCAGAAATACTTCAGTGATGATGCTGTCGCCTTCTCAGTGTCTCACATCAAGAGACACAAGATGTCAGTTTGTCCCAATATTGGTGATGCAGAGTTGTATCCTGTGGTTAAACTGTCAACCACCAGGTCTCTCCTTGATTAAGGTATAGCTTTACCTTTATAACTAGTAAATTTTCTGTGGGGTAATAGTTTGAGACAGTGTTTTCCCCAACTTTTAATTTCTGAATCTTTCCAGGCAGTTGTTCTGGTTTGGTGTTGGTTTTGATTTCCAAAGGTTAGAACAGTAAATGTTCAACAATAGGGGGTGACCTATCTCCAAAGCTAGATTAATAATTGTTATCTCTATCTTTCAGAGGAGGAAACCAAGGCTTAGGGAGGGTAAGTTACTTTCTCAGGGGCACGCAGCAAACTTGCTCTAGTAATTACCACCATTTACTATGTGCTTCTGTGGGCCACGTACTTTGCATGCTTATTGATACCCATTTTACAGACAAGGACAGTAACACTAGGGAGGTTTATTACACAGATGGCCAGTGGCAGAGCCTGGATTTGGTACCAGGTCTGACTTACTCCAAAGGCTATGTCTTATCCGTGATCCCATGTGACATCTAAAAGATTAAATGCTTTCAGCCCTGGAGTCCTCATGAATCCTGAGACTTGATTCTGAGCTTTTCAGGATCTGCTAATATTACAGTGGGGAGCTGGTTAAATGAATGGTTTTATCCCTATCTGATCAAGTGAAATTTATAGACAATATTACCTACCTCTACTCACAGTCACCCCCAAACTCCCTAATTCCTGAACTACAATAAAAAGGAGAAATAAAAGGAAATTAATGCAGCGTATATAAGCAAATTTATTTCAATATGTAAATGCTTGGCCATAGCCCCACAGGGTACATAAAGAAGGTGGTAGTTGTTTGCAACACTATGTAGACTCCTTGTTAATACAGTAGCCACAAATGCAGCCTGACCTAGCAGTGTGGACTTGGTGACTTAAATGCCATATGCACAGGGTTGTGGTCAGTGAGGGGATTTTCCAAGGCAGTGAACAACTCTTGGTCTAAAAAAATCCAGTCTTCTCTCAATTAACATGGTGGTTTAAGTCCTTGAAAATTCAGTGGATATTAAAATTGTGGGAAGAAATACTATTTATATAAAACTGGGCTAAGTTCTGGACTCTGATCATTTTAAACACTTTATTACTGATGTGAATGTTCAGTGGTACATTCAGAAGGCTTTCAGGACATAGGACAGTTGTATGGGACTGTCCCTTGTATTACAAACTGTCTAGCATCTCTAGTCTTGGGTCCCCATCACAGTGTCAACCAAAGTTACCCCCAGTATCCCATATGCCCTCTAGAGGGCAGCACTCCCCCACTGAGATTCATTAATTAATTGTATTTTATAGGCTTGAGCTTTAAAAGTTTAGAGCATCAGATCCCCCCACCAGCCAGCTGCCAAAAACAAAAACAAAAAGAAAGAAAAGTTCAGAGCAGGTTTTAGAGGGTCTTCAATGCCTGTAGGGCCCAGCCAGTGACCCAGAAAAGCCAAGTGGCCAAGTGGGTCTGGCCATAAGTGGGGCTGGTTTCTATCCTGTGTCTGCTAAGCAAGAATTTTAGCCCCAGAAGGCCTGGCCGGTTAGCTCACTTGGTTAGAGCACAGGGCTGATAACACCAAGGTCACGATTCCTTTACCGGCCAGCTGCCAAAAAAAAAAAAAATTCAAAGAACGTTTTTGAAACTTTGAAGAATTCTGTCACCAGTTTCCGTAAGGGCTGATAACACCAAGGTCACGATTCCTTTACCGGCCAGCTGCCAAAAAAAAAAAATTCAAAGAACGTTTTTGAAACTTTGAAGAATTCTGTCACCAGTTTCCGTAACTTACTTTCTTTTAATTCTTCTCTTTTTTTTGGCGGCTGGCTGGTACTGGGATCTGAACCTGTGACCTTGGTGCTGTAGGCTGTGCTCTAACCTACTGAGCTAAACGGCCAGCCCCACACAC